CCTAAAACATTAAAATTATAAATTTTTCTCTTATCTTTCCAATGGGTCTTGAATCAGCCCAATCGGAGTTCGGATACACGAGTTAGGCCCAGATTACTGAACAATGTCGAAACCGTGAAAAATCATCCGATTTGTCTTGTAATTTTCCAATGTGGGACATGTTAAAAACTGGTTTTAGCAAGAAGTAAAAAATATTTTTCAAATTATGTGGGCAGGTGTGCTTTTCATGTAATTGATCAATCAAACCCCATTGGATTTAACCTCTAATGAGATTAAAATCCAACAATCCCCCACTTTGATTGATCAATTACATAGATTTTTTTCGGTCCAAACTACTATAACAAAGTTATGCATGTAAACRTTTTTTCGCAAGTTAAACTTTTTATTAGTACAAATATCTTAGAGCCTTGCCAAAATTATTGGTGGTAAGACCTTAAACCAATTACTCTCAAGACAGATCGGAGATACCCATACACACAAAAAGGTATAGTCTCTACTGTCTCTATAAGAGTTTCAAATTATGCTCAGCACTGTTATGGCCATGTGCTTCTTTCCTGATTTCATGAACAATCCCGAGAGCAAATCCAAACTCTCATGAGAAGTAGCACTACTTCTATGTTCACATAAGTGAAGTTCCACTATGTGTTCCATTATTTGCACATTTCAAAACTTCATTAAGAGTTTAACTCAACTTCTCTTCATAACGGACAATACTATTTATGTTGCGATGGAAAATTTCTCAATGTCAGTATTAACAGTCACATTGCTATAGCTTGTTGTTACCCATTAAACCCAATACTGATGTTTTTTCAATTCATGTTGGGTTACTATTACAGGTGACTAAGTAAAGGGTTTTAATCCAATCTCTTTAGTTGTCGTTCTTACCAATTCTCTAAGCAAACCTTTGGTAAGAGGATCATCCGAGTTTTTACTTGACCTCATGTAAGTTATAGTGATGATTTCATCTTGAATCAGCTGTCTAACAATTTCATATCTTAGACTTATATGTTTGGACTTATCATTGTAAGTACCACTATAGGCTCTCGATAGATTTGTCTCACTATCACCGTAAATGGAAATTGGAGGCAAAGGACTAGGCCAAAGTTTTATATCCAATAATAAATTCATAATCCACTCAACCTCTTTTCCAGCAGATGCCAAGGCTTTGAATTCAGATTCCATGATCAAGTGAGATATACAACAAGTTTGTCTCTTGGATGCCCAAGAGATGGCACCCCCACCAAAGAYGAAAATCCTTCAAGAGGTGGAATTGTTATCTCTATTACTAGTAATCCAACTTGCATTACTATACCCTTCTAGTACAACTAGATAATTACAATAGAATAAGCCAAGTTCCAAGGTTCTTTTGGGGTATCCAAGAACTCTTCCAATTGCTTTCTAATGCTCTACATTGGGATTATTTGTAAACCGACTAAGTTTACTTATTGCAAATGCAATAMTATGTCTACTACAAAGCATGGCATACATCAGACTTCGTACTGCACTAGCATATTCAATTTGTGCAATTGCTCTATCAGAATTTTCTACTAGCTTTATATTAGAATAATATGGTGTGATATATTCTTTAAATCCTAAATACTTAAAATTCTCAAATATTCTCTCAATATAATGTGATTAACTTAATGCATAACCCCTACTATGCTTTTTAACTTTTATTTCCAAGATGATATCTACTTCTCATAAATCTTTTATCTTAAAGACAAAGGAAAAGTAGTTTTTAGTTTCATTTATCCCAACCATATTAATACCTACAATAAGCATGTCATCAACACAAAGACAAACAATTACACCATAATTTTCAGTAAACTTTGAGTAATGCATTTATCAACATTATTGTGTTTAAAACCAAAAGCTAGAATGTAAGAATCAAATTTTTCATGCCATTGTTTGGGTGCTTGTTTTAAACCATACAATGATTTAATTAGTTTACAGACTTTATTCTCATTTGCAAGAAAAACAAATCCCTCTGGTTGTTCCATATAGACTTTTTCATTTAAATCATCATTTAAGAAAACAGTTTTAACATTTATTTGATGAACAAATAAGTGATAAATGGATTGCTTGTGCTATAAGTGTTATAATAGAAGTTGTTCTAGCAACTGGCACATAGGTGTCAAAGTGGTCAATGCATTCCTTCTGACTGAATCCTTTGACAACCAATCTAACCTTAAAAGTTTGTATAATTCTATCATTGTTATTTTTTTTTTTCTAAACACCTATTTACATTTGATTGGTTTTGATCATAGAAGCATTTTTAGAGGTCACAACCTTGTAGATTTTCAGATCATTTTCAATGTTTAGTACAATGGAATTTTATTTAAAACCTCTATAGGTCACCACCTCATTGTAAGTGTTTCTCTGTTCTTTGTCTTTGACTTCTTCTAGGTTCTGGTATAGGTATTATAGTTGTGTCATTTTTTTTTTCAATCTCATTATTACCAATGGATATTGAGATCTGAGTCTCTTCTAACTTGATTTTTTTTTTGTCCAAAACTCTATAATATGCTAAGCACATCCATACTTTTAGGTATGATAAGTTAGGTTTTCTTCCTGTCCATAGTTTATATGGACACTTATTATTAAATCTAGAAACAATTTTGTTATGTAAATGACAGACCGTTAGGAGTGCTTCATCTCTAGAAACAATTTTAATGTACTATTCCAAATTCTTTACAGAAAGAATTAAACTCATTCTTAAAGTGCTCAGCACCCCTATCACTTCTAATGATTTAATTTTTTTTTCAATTGATTTTCAATTTCAATTTTATATAATTTAAACAGGTCAAAAGAATCATCCTTAGTTCTCATTAGGTATGCATATGTGTACTTTGAAAAATCATTAATAAAGGTTATGGAATATCTCTTACCTCTTCTAGTTAATACATCGTTAAGTTCATAGGTATTAGAATGAATTAGGAATGAATTAGTTCTAGAAGTTGAGAATTTTTCTTAACACTTGGGAAATGCTTCTTGACCATTTTAGATTTTAGACATATCTCACATTTTTCATTTAATTCATTATTATAAGCAACTAAACCAAGTTTACAACTAAACCAAGTTTACTCATGTTTTTATGGATTTAAAATTCAAGTGTGCTAATCTATCATGGATTTAAAATTCAACTAAACCAAATAGAACATTTTCCTTCATTAATCTATCCCTTTCCAACAAACATTCCATTATTGGATATGATTAGTTTATCGGATTCAAAGACAATTTTAAATCCTCTCTTATAGACTAGATTTATTGAGACCAAGTTATTTTTAATGTCATGAACACGGAGAACATTCAGAAGACTTAGTGTCTTTTTAGAGGTAAAGTTTAATTACAAGCTACCTCTTTCAACAATTTTGGCACATGTTTGGTTTCCCATCTATACCTCTTGGCCATCAGTCACTTCTTCATATGTCTTGAATAAGGACTTGTTCTTACAAACATGGATTGTGGTGCCTGAATCAAATAATCATTTAGAAGATATTCTGTCGTATTGACTTTATTAATCATGACCACTAGATTGTCTTCCACCATGTTTGCAGGCTTAGTTCCACCTTTTTGATATTGGCAAATTCGGACATAATGCCCATTCTTTCTACAAACATAGTAAGATCCTTTCTATTGTTGCTCTCTTTCAAATTCTTGTTCTTCTTCCTTGTAATATAAGATTAGTTTTATTTAGTCCATTATCCACAAAATTAACTTTAAAATTCAACATACTGATTAGGGTCTTATCCCTGTTATCTCTAATTCCACTACTAAAATTCTTATAGTTAGAGGCACTTGATCGGAGGCGGCGAGGGAAAAATGCCTCTATAACATATTAATTGAGACCGACTTATTGAGTTACTTTTAGAGGTACTTTTTGATGTTTTGAAGTTATAATTTTGCTTTTTGTGGACGGATAAAATTAGTCGCCTGGCGCCCAAACACCATTGCGCGCATATCTCCTTTTTTTTTCCTTTCCTCTCGTCTTATCTTCCTAATAACATGCCCTAATCGAACTCAAATGGGTAACAGGATTCTTGTCAGTGACCTACGTTGATTTAACTGCATTGRAACTCAAACGGAAGCAGTCAGGGAAACGACACCTGTTCATCGTCTTAACGGTTGGCGATACTGATTAAATCTTCTATACCTATTTGCAGGTATGTACATCCTTCAACGCCCTTCGGATTATTTACATTTTTTTTTTTTGCAACTGGTTGGTTATTTGTGCTTGTGGTGTTTGGTCAACTCCTTCCTCTCTTCTCTATCTCTCATTCTTTCTCATTTCTTAAAGTAAAATTTATTATCTTTCACAGCCGAAGTAAATAGAGCATAGTTTTGCATCCATTCTCACTTTCAGATCGCAAAACCCTCAAAGAGAGAAATAGAGGAGAACGGTTCTGAACTACGAGAGAAAAGGTAAGTGTAGTGATCCCTACCTTCGATTTCTAAAAAGTGAGAGAGGTAACTCTATTATTTCAATATCCGGTATCTCATTTTGGTATTTTTTTCGTCTTTAGGTCACCTATCTTTTTGGAAGATTTACCTTCGTTTTTAGGTAGATTTGCAAAGGAAACTTTGATCTACCTTCGTTTTTAGGTAGATCTACATTCGTTTTCAGAGAGGCAACTCTAATATACCTTTGTTTTTAGGTAACTAATCAACTTCATTTTGATTTCAATATGCCTTATTTGGTACTTCTCTGCCCTCTTACTTTTCACATATTTTGTTACAATCAGTCACTAATATACGTTTCTACAATAAATAGAAACATTATCATGTGTTTTTTACTGTTATGTTATTGTTTGAAGCTTGAGTTTGAGCTTGTTCTTGTTAGGTCTCGCAATTTATGCAGATTCTTTTGTTATTATTCAGCAGAATAGATCTCAGGGGAACACCTATAATTGAGTTTAATGGACAATATCCAGCAAAGCTAGCTAAATGTTGGCTGATTATCAAGTGAAACTTTCATTAGTTTGTTTACTTGCTTCATGCAGCACATCTTTGTAAAGTCCAAGTTTTTGAACTTTACTCTTAAAGCATCTTACAAGCTAATGCTGGTTCTAAATATAAACTTCAAGATAGAAACTGTCTCTAGGCCATAGTACTTGAGACTAAACCGGTCCATATATGAGATATGAAGATCTAATATATTTGAATTAGAAACTAAAATAAATAAAGCACAAGAAACAGAGTAGTTGAAGAACAGAATTAAACAAAGTTCAGGGACAATGAATATGATTAAAGCATGTAAACATCATACAAAGTATACAAATTAAAAAATACACTGCTATAAAATCACTGTCAACAGTTGTACCATGATTCAAATCACTCCTAAAAGAAGGAAAAGCAATCATGCATATTAGAGAATTACTAAACACCAACTAATGACCCCACCGTCATACCAAAATATAATCTAATTTAATAGAGTAGGGTAGCAAAAAAATGAAGTTTCCTTTTTTTTTTTGATTAGCAGAAAGTATATTTCATTTTATTAGATTTGATTAAATAAGTAGGTAGTCAACTTGAGGATAGAAATTTCATTCCCTACTTTCAAACCCAAATTTCATAGCGGCCCAGAATAAATGCTTACTCATAACCCCTTGTTTAATGAGGGAATCAACTACCCATTTTATTCCATAGCAAGGGAATCAATTTGACTTTATTACCTAAAAATGAAGTTTTCTTTGTAAAGGAAATTCTATGGCCAAACAATAGATCAAGTAAACTGAGAAACATATTAGCATTCCAAGGACCATTTTACCTTCACCTGCTTCAACCTATCTTCTTTGTGCTTTCTTAGGCTAATTATTGCCTTAACCCAATAACCATATTTAACCCTTCCTAATAATCTGTTGAGTTACTGCTCAACTGAGGAGTCAACTTTGAGGGTGACTCAACCTCCTTAAAGAAGAAGAAGAAGAAGATAGGGAATTAGTAGGAAAAATATCTCATGCACATTCCATTCCTCAACTGATACTTATAGGCTTAACATGTGATGCCATGTGTAATTAGTTATTCTCTGGCCTGATGTGGCCTTCTCAGGTAAACATACCGAATAATAGGTTTAGTTGGAGAGGTCAAGTGTGGTGGTGTGGGCCCCAGAGTGTTTCTAGGTTTGTTTGGGTTCAGGCCTGGAATATATCCAACAGGTGTAGTAGGCTAAGTTCTATCAGTACCCCTTGYTGAATTAGTGCATACAGTTTAACATGAATCTGCCACAGTTTTTCCTGCTCCTGTACAATAAAAAATAACTACAAGCTACCATAATAATCATAAAATATATGTATGCCCCTTCACTAAAAGCACAAAACATTAATCAGTTGTTATGAATTATGATAAGAAACTGGTATATTAAAAAGAGAGGACATGAGAATCTATAAGTGAATGAAAGGTTTCAGAGTTGCTGCACTTTAAAATTATAGGCCTACAATTTAACTTTTGGTCCTTTGAAACAATGGAATGAGAAGAATTTATGGGGTCATAATACTGAACATGTGACTTGACTCCCATGAAATTCAAA